TTAAAAGATAATTGACTATTTCAGCCAAAACAATAACCATGTAGGGTGGGATTTGTAACCTGTGTAACAGTCAAATGTATATGTTAAGAGAATAAAGACTGGAAAGAGGGAAGTGGAAATATGTGATTATAAATGTGTTATACTATATGTGAAATGATTTAGCAGCATGTGAAGAGACTGTGTTACGTGAAACCCTGAAAGCAACCACTGACAGGCTCGAGACTTCAATAAGTGATAGAACAAGTAGATGGATGGTCAGGAAGGATAGAGGAACCTTGGAACAATGCCATCGATTTGCAAAGAAAATATATTTATTTTGCTATTTCTTACAAACATTCTTACTGGACAGCCCTCCAATTGTGCTTGTTGGTATTTTACCTAATTGAGTTGAAACTATGTTCATACAAAGACCTGCACATGAACGTTTGTAGCAGCTTATTCATAATTGCGCCAACTTGGGAGCAATGGAGATGCCTTTGACTAGATTAATGGGTAAGTGGATTATTATTTAGCAACAAAAAGAGGTGCGCTATCAGGCCGCAGAAGGACATGGAGGGGCCTTATATCAGTATTCTAAGTGAAGGAAGCCAGTCTGAAAAGGTTATAGACTGCATGATTGCAGCTTCATGACATTCTGGAAAAGGCAAAGCTACAGAGACAATAGAAAAATTAGTGGTCGCCAGGAGAGGGGATGGAGGGGATGTTTTAGGGCAGTGAATCTATTGCGTACAGCACAGTAATAGTGGACACTTGACGTTATTAAAACATTTGTCAAAGCTCATAGAACTGCACAACACAGAGTGAACCCGAACGAAAACTATGGACTTGAGTTGGTAAAAATGAAATAAATAAAAACAACAATAACAAAAATATGGAAACGTTGAAAAAACATATAGTTTGTTACATGCCAATCTTACCCCAATAACGCTGTTAAAACCTATCAAATTGGCTGAGCTGCACCTTCTGTGACAACGTGGCAACCTCTGAGCTCGCAGGTAGGTCCTAAGGTTTTGCCCCCTTGTGCACAGAAGCGGCCTCTCCTTCCCGCATCGTACAGCCGCCTCCCGTGGCCTCTGCAGCCGGAGGGACTGTCGCTATTTAGTCTCAAAATGATGCACGTGAGGCTTTGGGTCATTTTCTGATGTTTTTAGTGTGCCTGACCCCCTCTCTGTAGTGGCATCCACTTTGAAAATCAGCAGCTAATGATGGTGTTACTTGGGAGGCCGAAGGCCTGCATTCTGATTCCCGCGGTGCCGGTAACTGATCTTCAGGTTTGGGGCAAGTCTCTTGCTTCACCATGGCAGACCTCAGCTCCTTCGTCTGCACAGTCGGGGGGGTTTTCTGCGACTCTGTCTGGCCCCTTCCAATTTCTGTCGGTAGTAAGCCTTGTCACACTTTTATATGGAGGGGGATGTGTGGGATGGGTGTATACTGCATCCCAGGGCGCTTGGTGCAGCAGCCCTATTGCAGGTAGGGACACCGGAGACCCTCCACACAGTCCCTCTGCCTCCGGTTGTGGGTGGAACCCTGAGTCCAACTTGCTCCAGGCCGGGTGCCCAGGGCTGGGGTTCAGGCTGTAGCTGCTGCCCTCAGCATTGTTCTTTTTCAGCCTTTCATACATCCCAGCCCTGAAATCTCTCTTGGCTGAGAGAACCTCCTCCATCTGCAAAAAAAATGCCCACAAAGCCAAGTTCTGGGCGTTTTCTTAGCCCAGAACTGAGCGGTGGTCCATGGTGTGATGGTGAACCCAAACGCTAAGGCTGAGAGTTGGACGATTTTTCTAGTAACTGAGCCTCCTGAGAGCATCTAAACATGTTTTATGTTCGATTGGTTAAGTGTACATTTTAAGATAGAAAGTATCCTCTAGCTGGTTCTTGTTCCACGAGCCTGACTTACCTTTAAAATTCTTTAAGGACCCTGGGATGTAATTGACTGAGAAGCTCTGTTTGGTCTGAACGGGGTCACGGTGATCAAGTCCTCAGACTGGATATCAAAATCGAACGGTGCTGTGAGCACGGCCAGGGGCCTCTTTGCTCTGTAACTTCCGGATGCTCTTTCTGATGTTCCATTTGTCCGAGAGCAGGACAGAGGATCAGCTTCTCTGACCGCTCGTGGGCTCCTGCGGCCACTTCCTCAACCTCTCGAGCAACAGTTTAAAAATTAAGCCCCATGAAAAGCAGCTCACCCAGTGTTTGTGTTTGATCTTTTTCTTAGGACTTTGTTTAGAGAAGTTGCCTATTTCCTCTTCTACCAGCAACCTCCACGCGGACAGGGAACAGGAGGTCATCACCTGCTATGAGAAAGCGGGGGACATCGCGCTCCTGTACCTCCAAGAGATAGAAAGGGTGAGTGAGGACCGTGCATTTGTTCCAGTGGATACTTAAAAAAAAATCAGATCAAATTGTGGAGGACTGTGGTCAACCTCGGGAAAGCCCTCGCGCGAGGCTTTCCTTACTCTCCCTGACGCCGAGGCGAATCCGGTGGCGACCGTGGCGCCTCGTGAGCACAGACGGGTCAGTGCTGGGGAGGCACTGGGACACGCTCTGAGCAGAAGTGGCGGTGTGCCTCCACTCATGCCCTTCCACCCTGAAGGTGACTGTTATGTCCGTTCTCCTTCGCAAAGTGGGTGGATCTTCACGTGTCCTTGGTGGGCTCTGTGCCAGCACCGTGTTCATCTGGGTTTGGGAGGCTTTACCTCGAAGGCTCGGCCGGAGGTCTGCCGGGGACTCTCAGCCGACCTGCTCGGAGCAGGAGTGTATCCCCTGAGACCTTCGGGGACGGCTTCTCCTCAGAGTCCCTGCTTTGCCTGCCGTGTGGGGAATGGAGACCAGCAGCTACCAGGGGGACACCTGACTGGGGAGTGAGTGGGCAAGAGACCCCGAGCCCACGCCCTCGGGCAGGGGGCGCTGGAGCAGGATGGGCCAGGGAGGTGTGCGTCGCTTCCTGTTTAGAAGGATCTGTCGTTGGCTCTGCTCCTGCCTAAGCTCCTTCACTTCTCAGCCTCAACATCCGCGTCTGTAAAGGGAGCATAATAATGGCTCCTGCTTCACGGTGTTCTTGTGGGGATTGTGAGAGGTCATGTAAATAAGGCACTTAGCCCAGGATTCTTGAATGAATGTCGCTTGTTTTTACTAAACTCTGCCCCCAACAGAGCTTTCTGGAGTCTAACAAAGGCTCAACAAGGGTGTTCCCCCTTCAGCCCCCGAGATGTATCCTGTGAGATATTTTGAAATGATGAGAAATCCTCTGAGTCTTTGAAAATAACCATGATCTTGTTTCCCATCGTTTTCATAGGTCCTCTGTCTCCGTGAGGATTAGAATAGAGAGGGACAACCAAGTCAGGTTTTGTTCTTGTTATTTTATAAGTGCACAGACTGGAAGTGATTTCTTCATAAACAATGTGTGTGATGAGGATCAGAATTGCCTTGTAGGAGGCCGGGAGAGGAGGTGGAAGAACAAGAGAGGAAGGGGAGGCTGGTGGAGTGACCTTTGGCCTGACCTCCACCAGAACGGACTCTCAGCCACGGCTCGGCACATCTGGGAATCCAGGAAGACCTCTGGCCATCTTGCCAAAGTGTTCTATCCGAAGGCTGCTATGAGGAAGGGTTTTTTTGTTTGTTTGTTTGTTATTTGAAAGTTACGATTGATCTTTAGAGAAATGACCATGCAGCTTGCTTTCAAAGTCACGTGGTTTTCCCTGCCTGCCTCCTCGAGAGCCGGGCTCCCGGCAGGGAAACTGCTCACCTGGCTGAGCCGTTCTTGTGGGCCCCACAGCCCTCGCCTCTCCGGGCCCTCATTTTGCACCGTCTTTGTCCAGCGGCTGCCCAGCCCTATCCTGGAGGCGCTGCCTTCTCGGGCCGGGAGGAAGGGGGTTCATCTGTTACCCGTGTCTTTCTTGGCGTGGGAATTGGCAAGTCTGGATGTACTTCCTGTCCTGTTCGTTTATAACTACCCGCTCACCACGGGATTCTTTAGCCAGGCTGTCAAGGAGACTCATAGGATATAAAATGATTTTTTGATGGTTTTGGGGAAATGGTGATCATAGGACATTAGGTTTTGAGAAGAAAATGCCCAGAAAGGGAGAGCCCAAGGGCACGGAGGAATTTGGGGCCAAAGCTAGAATTAGAACTAGCTTTTTCTTTACCTAATTCAGCACTTACTCAGTTCCCTGTCCCAGGCTACTGTGGTTTCCCACACCCTTATATATAGAAAACGCTCACCAAGTATTTGGCCAGGCGAACCCTCGCTCTTAGCGTGGGGGGGGGGGGCAGCCTCAGCCCAGGGTCCAGTCTCAGGGTGTGTAGGCAACTTTCACGTTTCTGGCTCGATTTTCCAGTCCGAGTTTTCCGTCCTGGGAAAGCAGTTCGAGCCTTCCCAGATCCAGCAAGTCGAGAGAGTAGCAACGAGAGAGATTGAGTGAACCAGACATCTGTTTTGACTGTAGTGGGTGCTCAAGAAGCAATCTGTTGATCTGTTGATGGATGAGAAGTCTAGAGGAGAAATGACCTTCCGTAAGTGACCTTCGGGCTTAGTGAAAGTTCAAGGGTTTTTATGAGACAAGACAATGAGGAAACCTGCTTGGACTTAAAATTTTATTTTGACCTTAAATGACTTGAGAATTATGCAAAATTGAAAACAGAAATTTCAAGGAAATAGCATCTGAAGGAAGTCCAGGGCTGGGGCAGGCTTGGGCGAGTAGTGCTTTGATTTTCTGGGTAGGCAGCTCTTGTAAGTAGAAAACACCACATGCTCTGTTCCCGTGTTGGTTCTGCCGGGCCAAGGCAGTCCGTCACTCAGTGATTTCCCCTCATTTCCAGCTATTTTATAGTGAAGAAACTTCTATTTGCCAGGACCTTTGGGCATTTTCCTTATCAGTTGGCTCCTAACTTCATGCACTGGCGAGAATAAAATTGGGGGAGAACTTTTGAGGACAGTTGGAACATTGTGGCCAGACTTTTCCGTTTGGGAACACTGGGTTGTAATTCCCAGGCAGCTCTATTCTCCGAGCTTCCCTAAAATTGGCTGTGTCCAGTGATGTTGGATGTGTTTGCTCCTTGAAGGTGGGGACTCTTCCTGGGGGGGGGGGGGGGGG